CTACAATCGGATACTACAATATAAAACAGATGAACATGTATTTTTATTCTGTTTTTGTTAGTTGAAAGAAAAAAAACAAAAAGCATAAAGAAAGCAACAAAACAACAACAACTGAATTGTTCACAATCGATGATCTTAATACGAATGAACTGCGACCAACGAGAAAAAAATGAATAACTACTGCAGGCATAAAAAACGAAAGAATGAATGAATGAATGATCCTACAAATAGACAGGAATGCCTGGAATGACAAAATGTCACCGGCGCATTATCAATACAAGACAACAAATAACAACAAAAAAAAAAGAATGAACGGAATAAACTAAGATAATCATAGTCTTTGTTGATATGTTATATAATTTATTTTCTTGTTACTTTTGTACCTTTTTTAATTTGTGGTTTATTTAAAATAACACCTGCTTTTCGTGCTTGACCAGTTTTCTTAGTTGATGCATAAATTGATTTACGACGTTGGACTTGTCGAAGTGCATTTTTGGCTTGTAAACGATTTGAAAGTTTCTTAACTTTATATATACGTACAATCCAATGTTCTGTTGTATAAGCTTCTTCAACATGTTGTAAATCAAAATTTTTATTACCGATTTCTACATGACGTGTACGATCAAAACTAGAAGGAGAAAAAAAAAGTTCTTAATTTATTTGAATATATATATTCTTTTACCCAGGTGGTGATCGAAAATCAGTTTGTAATTCACCAAAACGATAATAACATAATTTATACATTAAACAATTGAGCAAAACAGGTGAACCTGATCGATCAACACGAAATTCACCACTTTCAGTGAAATAATCTTGTTCACGAATATCTTTTGGATGTTCACCTATATTAATATATGACATAAAATATATATTTATATTCTTTATTAGACTCTTCTTTACCTTCAGCGATTCTAACCATCCATAAAAATTTATTAATATCATCTCCAGAATATCCAATCATACCACCAAAAATAACTAATATATAATCAACATCAAGCATTGTCATTATTTTATAAGCTTCTGTTTCATTGCTTGACATAGCTTTTCCAACTAATGCAATATGACTATTATTCCATGTATTATTATCAACTAAAACTGTTCGATTTCCCATGCCAGCTATCTGATAACCATAATCCCACCATGACATAACACGAGCTCTTTCAGGAGTATTTTTTCTTAACCAATAATAAGCTTCACGAAAATCATCAATTATATATCTTGAACCATCGTTATTATATGAAGCAAGAACGATGGATGGTGATGAATAAGCATTTGAAGTAACCCATGTACAATGAACAGCAAGTAACATTAACATCATTGCAACTAAAAACAACAGAACAATTCCCATGTCTAGTCTTAATTTTTATTATTAGGAATACTTACTGCAAATAACAACAATTGTTTTGATATTTGATGAAACAATATTAGCATCATCATCACCATCTGGAGTACCATTTGATGGGCCACGTCGTCCAGTAACTGTTTTTGATTTACCAGCTTTATCATATAAATTACGATTATTTTTTTCATTTGTTTCACTTTCATTATCACTTTCATCTTCACCATTTGTTGTTACAACTGGACTTGAATTCATATCTGATGTTTCCGTATCTGCATAATAATCAAGTGTTTTTGATAATGCAATTGCAGCTAAATAGACAGAAAAATTAGAAAAAAAAATAAAATCGAAATGTTTTGCTTTTACCAAGTACACAAACACATGGTGTTAATGTTAACATTAAACGAATCATAACACCAGCAAAATACGATGCAAATACAGCATAGAGAACAATAAAAACACGTTCATCATTTAATTCTCGAATACAAAACCATGCTCCAACCGGGAATAAACAAATTAATAAATGAAGATCTATAAATTCAAACAAAAAACAAAAAATTTAGATTTCATTATAAAAAAATTTTACCAAAAAAGAATGATGTCCATGTTGTTGGCTGATGTTCACTAACACTAGCAATAATTGGTATATGTATTTTAGCATAATTTGTATCCCATAAAGAATAAAATCTTCCAGACCATGGTGCAATATAACCAGTATACGTTAAAAGAACGACAACAGCCAATACACCTAAGCCAATCATGATCATTAAACCAAAAAATAATTGTTTTAAATCTCCAGCACGTGGTAATTTTGCATAGAGATATTCAATGAATGCATATGCTTGTATAAGAGCGAAAACACCAGCTGCTAACATATGTTCACTTGTACGAACTGGTTGAAAGCCAACAAATGGAATTTGCATGGAAAGTATTAAACCAAGAATGAAAAATGTTGAATAAGATACATATAATCGAAGTGAGTATCGACGAAGTACAAGTAAAACAAAGACATGAACAGGAATTAAGTTAATAATAAAAACATAACCACCCCATGCTGAGACCTTTTAATCAAAACAAAAAAGAAGAAGAGATGACAAATATTTCAAAAGTTATAACATACCATATAAAAGTAAGATAAAGCTGTGCAACTTGACCAGAAAACGCTACCAGTTTTAACCGAACGGATCCAAAGGAAATATGTAAACATAAGTGCAAAGATGGCAATACCTTAAATAAATTCATTTTTATTTGTATAATGAAAAATATTCTATTACCTTCATTGTCGTATGATCCAGCGACACTACGTGATGAATAACCTGGTGCAATAGCAATAAATGCTGCTGCAAAAAGGCCGGCACGTTTTGACCAAAGTTCTTTTGTAAGTAAATAAGTTGCCAATGCAGTTAAACCACTAAAAAATGGTGCCAAAAAAACACAAATTTCACGGATATGAATTGGAATATTGATCATATGTAAAAACCAATGAATAACACCGCTTGTAACCATTAAACCTTTAAAAAACATTATAGGTCTTACATGTCTTATTTGCAAAAAACAAATTACCTGGATAAACAGTTCCACCAACAATACGTCCAAGTGGATACCAAGCAAGTTCATCGAACCAGTTAAGAAAGTTATAAAATCCATTTTCTGTCATATAAGCTGTTGATCGATAATTAAACCATGGATCGAATTCATGAATAATTGATTCGAAACGAATAACAGAAAATAATCGAGACATAAAACCTGATATATATGCACATGTTAAAACAACAAAACTGATTAATGATGTTAGACCAGTTGGTGAAAGTAACGATGATGTTGCCAATGTATTTGATGAACTTGATAAACGTTTTTTTGAACTAAGTTTAGGATTAAGTTCGGACTCAGTAGTTAAGAGTCCTGAACCGTCATTGACGGTGGACTGATTTGTTGTTACTTTAGCAGCCATCTACAATAAGAAATTCATAAAATTTGTTTTTTTCTCGTTACTGAACGATGGTAAAAAGAATAAGTAAAGAAAGACAGCCAACAGGTCTGGAATAATTCTGTCGGTTAATCGAGACAACAAATCAAATAGCACAGAATTCAATCATGTAATCTACTGTCATCTATAAACTTTTCGTATTTTTTTTTGATATGTCACTTTTAAATCACGATCATATCTATATATAAATAATAATGGTGAATTGTATTTTTTTTTCTACTAATTATTCATTAGCTTTTGTGCTTTATCGAACATATAAACAATCAAGCTAAATCACAACAAAA